AAGTCAGTTACACTTACTAGTGTTTGGAGCGAAGTAAATTAAAACAGGATGTGATTGCTAGTTTTTAAAAATCTTTGTGGGCATAGAACACAAGAAAGATTATACTGTAATAATATATTTTCAATATACAATATCACCAGATAAATAAAGATATAGCAACATTCATAGGTTTATTTCAAAGATGCAGAAGCATAATTTTGCATTTGCCTGATTGACACACGTACAATTGCTGATGTGCATAGGAAATTTGAATATGTACAGAGTTATAACTCTGAAAATCTGGTCTTTGGGGAATCCTTTATTCTTTAGGCATACACGAGTTAAAGCAGGCTTAGTGCTAAATGAAATGAAGCCAAAAGATACAGCTCATACAAGATTGACTTAGTGATACTAGGTCAGAAAAAGGAACCATGACTTTTGCTTAACAGAAACACACTTTATTGATGAGTTTTCTTTGCCTCAGTGTGAGCATTAGTGTCTTTTACAGTCTTTTGTTTTAATAGCAGCATCATGCACACAATTCTGTTGTTAATATTGCAGAGATGGCATATGTTTGTGGGTAAGTAATATGCCTGTTTACAATGCCATTAGGAAACCGCTGACTCTACCAGTTCACAGGCTCATTTAAACCTTTCTCTACTTCCAACTTGCTGAGTATTTGGTATTCAATACCGTGTGAGTGATTTCCTGCAGCCTCCCTAACACAGGCTGGTGGGTTGCTAAGGAGTATATCTCAGGAGGTTAAGAGCCTGGCAGTCACCTTGATCTCAGTGCCAGTGATTATCTGTGTAATTTTCTGCTTTTGTGTTTTATACTGCAGCACTGACCAAAGCTTATGTCTGTCCCTTGGCATGCATAAGCGTGAACAATTATGACTGTAGATAGAAAGATGTACTGATTGCTTTCACAGTATAACCTCTTTAACATAGTATTACAAATAAAACATCATCATTCAATTAAAAAAAAAAAAAAAAGGAATTAAAAGAAAAAAGCCAAGTGAGATCAGTTGGAAAAACAGAAGAGATTTTTTGTCTCCTAGGTCATCCATTTTGGGTTCTTTTCATTGTCTTTGGTTCAATAGCCCTTTCAGTACACATTCAGGACAACTGCTTCACAGCCAAGAGGACTAGGAACTGCCTTTATAAACCCTCAGGCCTGTAAGGGTCTCACATGATGTCTTACATCATGAGCTGTTAACTCATCAGTCACAGTGAAGGACACTTAACACCTGGAGCTATAGCATGTTGCTGCCGTGTTGCCTGTGCTGCCATAGCTGCAAGTAGAATTTCAGGGAGGGAGACAGAAAGACCCAGATCATGGATATAGAGAAGGATCCACATCAAATTTTCCCAAAGCTTTAAAACCACCCTCCTTTACCTGTCTTATTCCATAAGGGTCAACACCTACAGATAAGGTCCTACAAGGGCCATTCCCCTTCTGTTATTTTAGTAGATAACACAGAAGGATAAATGTCTTTCCTCCACGACCAACACTTGAATTCAGTCAACTTTCTTCAAGGAGACTGAGTAATGGGAAAGGGAAAAAAGAATTGAGGCCCTTGCTCTGTTAAGAGCTCATAGCAGCCCATCCACCTCTAGCACCTCTGGGTGCTATTCCTACCTTGAGGGTGAAGTAGCTGTTGCCACATCTTTGCCAGTGGTCCCAGGTATGGAGTCTTTGTATGTGCAGAACTAGCCCTTTCCAACTCCATATGAATGGCACTTCCATGCAGAAATGCCTTTTGCCAGTGCAGAGAGATCCCAAATGGCCTGTGGGAGAAGTGATTCCCTCCCAACCTCCTGCTGGATTCCCCAGCACCCATATCCTGGGACATGGGACTTAATTAACATGGATGCCCTTGAATTGTGACAATTTCACTTGCAGTAAACTCAGACTAGAAATGTAAGCAAATCAACTACTGTTAGCCTGTCAACTGTGCTAGCAGGTTGCACAGTTAGAAGCCACAATATGTTTACTTTTCATATCCCAGCCACAGGGTCAGTAACCTTTTGGCAGAGAGGTGGATAAGGAGGACAAATTGGATAACGTTGCTGTAGCTAAAGCCATGTGTATGCCTGTTGCAGAGTTTTATTTGGTTTTATCTGTTTTTATGCAAATTAAATTAATGGCACTCCAGGTTAAAGGTTTCATGTAACAGGCCTTTTAAATTTAATCTTTTTTCTTCAAATTGTCTGTAATCTTCTACTTAAAATCACAAATTGAATACTAAGTATGGGCTTATTGCAGCTATTAATCCTTTGGCTAAATAAAACCACTAGCAAACTGTGAATAGTTGTTAATAAAATAATAGGTCTTCTACCTGCCACATCTTCATTCCACGTAGACTGTCTATGGAGTGAAAGATGAAATAAGAGTTGTCACATAGGGAAAATTTTGCTGGTTTTGTGTTAAGGTAAGATACAGAAACATGATCACTATATAAGGTCTAACTATTATTACTTAATGTTATTTTGCTTCCTCTGCACACATATCTTAACAGCTACTGGATTCTAGTCTCACTGGGGTGTTTTATTTAATGAGTGTTTCATACAAAATGCATACAGGGCTTTTTTTTCTCAAACAAATTGTCAACAGGACTACAGTGGCCCTTCTCACCTGGTGAGTCTCATGATCTTCACTGCTGGTCCAGTATTAGGTAGATAGACAGTACAACCCATCCCGCCACCAGAGATTTGGTCACTTGCATCCAAGGCAGATGTGGCAGAGGTGGAAATTGTTCCCCAACTTCCTGCTTCTTTGATAAATGCTTTTGTTATCTGCTAACAAGGGAAATTGCAAACTGTCAAAATTAAAACAGTAGGAAGAAATTATTACTGAGGTAATTTAAGCCTGACAACTCTATTTTTCCCCCTTTTAAGTGGTCTCTGAAAATTAGCAAAGGGATGAAAAGGGGAAAGAGGCATTATGTGATGAGGAAAAACAAATCTAAAGAACTACAAAATTCTTGACCCATTCTTCAAGTCATGGACTAAAATCAAATTGAAGACATTTTGCTCAACGTTCAAGAGCAGAAATTATCCAGAAGTCCATTCCCTGTGAAGGTGAACCTCATTAATATGTAGCTACCATCATTCATCTCCCTTTATTTTCTATGAATGGTTTTTTGCGCTTTGTCCTTTCTAACTCTCTCCTTTCTACCTTTCTGCTTTCTTATTTAAATCTTCTCCTTTTTTTGTGATACTTTCTTCATGCTTCTCATTCTTTACTTGGATAAAAAGCTGGACATGAGCCGGCAATGTGCCCTGGCAGCCCAGAAGGCCAACCGTACTCTGGGCTGCATCAGGAGGAGCGTGGCCAGCAGGTCGAGGGAGGTAATTCTGCCCCTCTACTCAGCTCTGGTGAGACCTCACCTAGAGTACTGCGTCCAGCTCTGGAGCCCTCAGCACAAGAAGGACATGGAAGTGTTGGAGCGGGTCCAGAAGAGGGCTACTAAAATGATCCGAGGGCTGGAGCACCTCTCCTATGAGGACAGGCTGAGAGAGTTGGGCTTGTTCAGTCTAGAGAAAAGAAGGCTGCGGGGAGACCTGATTGCGGCCTTTCAGTACCTAAAGGGGGCCTATAGGAAAGAGGGGGAAAACCTTTTTAGTAGGGCCAGCTGCGTTAGGACAAGGGGTAATGGTTTTAAACTAAATCGGGGTAGGTTTAGGCTAGATATAAGGAAAAAATTCTTTACAATGAGGGTGGTAAACCACTGGAACAGGTTGCCCAGAGAGGTAGTGGAGGCCCCATCCCTGGAAACATTCAAGGCCAGGTTGGATGGGGCTCTGAGCAACCTGATCTAGTTGGCGGTGTCCCTGCTGACTGCAGGGGGGTTGGACTCGATGACCTCTAGTGGTCCCCTCCAACCCAAAACATTCTATGATTCTATGATTCTATGATTAATATGTAGCTACCATCATTCATCTCCCTTTATTTTCTATGAATGGTTTTTTGCGCTTTGTCCTTTCTAACTCTCTCCTTTCTACCTTTCTGCTTTCTTATTTAAATCTTCTCCTTTTTTTGTGATACTTTCTTCATGCTTCTCATTCTTTACTATTCATCATTGTCCTTCTCGGGCAAGTGAAAAACTTGGGGTTTGTATTACTAGTCCTTCGTTGGGCAGAGTACAAATCCTTTGTTACTTTTCTGTGTGGATCATTTATTTGCTTTTTGGTTCATTTTTTCAGATGTGTGAGATAGATAGGCTTCATTGCTATTTCTTCACTATAAAGGTAGAAAGTTGCTAATGGAATGCAAAACTAGGAAGACCAATCTAGGATTGACTTTGCAATTGACAGCTCAAAAACAGTTTTCCCCTGGACCTTTGCGATTTCCTACCTTTTTTTTTTCCCCCTTGATGGTGCCTTTCTTTTCTCACATTGGTGTACATATTCACTTCTGAACCTGAGAGGAAAGGCATCTCTGTAACATTATTGCTTGCACCATTCATTTTCCTAACTTTTTTCCTTTTCTCTTCATGATGGAAGAAGATTTAGCAAACTCAAGGACCACCAGTCCAACTCTTTCATGTTTCTCATAAATCAAATCCATTGTCTTATCTCTGATCACCTACTCACCCATTTACCAATTTTTCATGTATTTAACAGTCTTCCTAGTCCACTGATTATGCTATCTTAGCCCAGCAAAGAAGAGGGCTTCAGTATTAGAGTGCTCGCTTCATTTGATCAGTCAGAGAATTACATTATAATGATCCTCTAATTACAAAGCTGTCGCGCTGTGTTAAATCCTTTCTATATGTGCTGTCAACTGTTTACACTGTTCTGCTTGCCCCAGACTTCACGTTTCCATATATACTACAGTGATAGCTGACAACAGCATTGACAAATGTCATGTACAGTGTATGGTTGAGGGAAAGAAGTGGAAGGACTTTGAAAAAGGGCTTGGAACGTGAGAATAAGCCAATATTGCCACAAATGTTTTAATCAATGTGTATTTTTCTATAAACCAGTTCATTCTTGTTTTTCTGTGTTTTTCCACAGTGGTTATGTCTTTGATTACGATTACTACAGAGATGATTTCTACAATCGGTATGTGTGGCTATATTTTTGTATATCCTACACCATTTCTGCTCTTTATTTATAATGCAATCATATAATTTGGTTAGACAGGTCTGGTCTTATTTTACATATTATTCATTTCATTATTTCCATTGTATATCAGAAGAAGACTATTTGAATATATCACAAACAGAGAAGATTACCACCACCAAATGTATAATCATTAAACAGCTCTTTTGGTCTTACACTTCTCTGAGAGCTTTTGGTGCATTTTCTCTGCTGAACATTTTAATGATAGTTTAATTGCTCAGTGTTTCTTCCTACAGAATTCTTCCAGGCTTACTGTCACTGGAACATATAGCAGCTGTAAAATTCTTCAGTATGACACATGTGTCTTGTCTTTTTGTCCATGTGTATGAAAAGATGTAGAATGTCCCCTGTGAAATGTGTCCTCCAAGAACATTTAGAAGTCTAGAGGGACCTTGAGGGAGCAAGAGCACAAGCTGAACAGCATGTGTGGTTGTGTAGGAGGAAAAGAAGTGTAGATATCTGAACAATTGGAGACTTGTGCCTTGAGTACATACGCACAGCCTAGCTCAGTACTATGGGAATGTATTCATTCAGATGTAGCAGAATCATTGCAACACAGGGTTATAACATGGATGACCATGGATAACCACCCCGTGATGCAGCAGTGTTGTGTCTCTGCATTACAGGAGCCTGCTTTAGCATAGGCCAAGTGAGTCAGAGGGGTTGCTCCACCAACCTCTTCTAATCTGAGATTTCTTTTATGTAAAGCGATGGACAATAGTGGTTTACACCCTGAATTTAAGTTACCATGTGCCATGCACCTTTCTGCTTAGCAACAGTGTAGGAAACATTTAGAAACAATGGGGTTTGGTTTTGATTTTTTCTTGGGGTTGATACAGTTCAAGTCACTAGTTTTGTTTCTGCATGTAAATGACCATGCTCACTTGTCACTTTAGCTCTGTCCACACAGCTAAAAATAGTGAGCTATAAACATATGGAGTAAAAGCTATCAATGCAGTTTAATCCTGCTCAGTCCAGCCTTGACAGTAGGAGTAGCCCATATCCTGTAATAAGTTAACTTCCACAGGTTTGTGTTTGCTTTCCCCAAGGTTACTGCTCCAATTTTCATCAATGGATTTTTATGTTTTTAAAGAGTACTGTTTCTGATCTATGCCACCTGAATATTAGTCATGTGTCTTTAGTCTTTTTCCTAATTCTGTGTATTATGGGTAGCATGATCGAACAACTATAATGGTTACATTTCCACAACAGAAGAAATACTTATGGGGCTTTAAATATTGTTTATGTGGAACCTTGTGTCTATCTTGGTGATTGTCTTATGGAAAAATGCTGACAGTGAAATGTGTCCATAATCTATTCTACAGTATAATTTTCTGATTTCAAAATCTTTCAGGATTAAGACAGCAGAATTCTTATGGTCAAAAACTCAAATAAGAGTTTGAGCTCACAAGGCTGGACTTGTTGATATGTCAACATAAAAAGATTAGGAGGTTAAGGGTCTCTGTTAGATCCAAGTTAATGGAAGTAGAAGATGAAAAGCTCTATATGGTAGGCATAGAAAAGGAAATACCATGGAAAGTTTGATGTACTATCAACACTCATAAAAATACAAATTAAGAAATATAGTCATGATTCTTTGGATTTCTTAACTTCTGAACTTTCTAAATTTCTGTGTTTTATCCCAAAACATTGGTCTTGTTTTCTAACATTCATTAATTTTTCAACTTCCCTGAAGGGAGAATATGTCTATCTTGACTTGACTAAAGCATTGGTGGGGTCAGAAAAGGGTGACAATAATGGGCTGTAAAATAGAGCCTGTGTGAAGACAGATTGACAAGATCAGGACTGCACAGTTTAGAAGGGTGGGTGAAAGAAAAGGTGTTATACTCACATTAGTGATTATTGGGACAAAGATTATTGGGATCAGGTGAATGATCTGCTCAGCCTGGTGGCAGAGTTGAAAGAGGAAGTAGAAAGGTTAAGGAGTATCAGTGAGTATGAAAGGGAGATAGATAGATTGGTGGAGCCACACCCCACCACCCCTGAGGCCAAGGCAGCAGATGGAGGCTCCACAAGAAGAAGAGGATGCCTTACCCTCTTGCCACCAAGCAGAAGGAGGGGACCTAAGAGATGGCAGGGAATGGAAAGAGGTCCCTGCTCAGGACAGCAGGTGAATCCAGCCAAGGCCTCACTCACCTTCCCAGCTGCCACAACAGATATGGGGCTCTGGAACTTGAGGGCCAGCAAATGAGGATGTAGGTGAAGGCCCATCCAGGGGGCTGCATAGGGTGAGTCAGTCAGCCCCATGCCTTATGACTGCCTGTGTTAAGAAAAAAAGGAGGGTAATTGTCATAGGCAATTGTCAGTTGTTCTGAGGGGAACAGAGGGTCCAATATGCTGACCAGACCCATCCCACAGGGAAGTCTGGCTGCCTCCCTGGGGCCTGGGTTAGAGAGGTTACCAGGAAACTCCCCAGTCTGGTACAGCTCTCTGATTATCACCCACTATTGGTTATGAAGGTTGGCAGGGATGAGGTTGTGGAGAGAATTCCAAAAGCAATCAAAAGGGACATCAGGGCACTGGGGCAATTGATTGAAGGATCAGGAAGCTGTTAACGACCTGCTGTACCACCTGGAGATTCACAAGGATATGGGGCTGGAAGGGATCCACCCAAAAGTACTGAGGGAGCTGGCAGAGAAGATTGCCAAGCCACTCTATCATTTATCAGCAGTCCTGGTTAACAGGGGAGGTAACAGAGGATTGGAGGCTTGCCAATATGATGCCCATCTACAGGAAGAGCCAGATGAGGATTGAGGGAACTACAGGCCTCTCAGCCTGACCTCAGTACCAGGGAAGATTATGGAGCAGTTCATCTTGAGTGTGCTCACCAGGCATGTGCAGGACAACCAGGGAATCAGGCCCAGCCATCATGGTTTCATGAAAGGCAGGTCCTGCTTGACCAACCTGATCTCCTTCTATGACCAGGTGAGACACCTAGTGAATGAGGGAAAGGCTGTCGATGTTGTCTACCTGGACTTTAGTAAAGCCTTTGATGATGTCTTCCACAGCATTCTCCTGGAGAAACTGGCGGCTTATGGCTTAGACAGGTGTACTCTTCACTGAGTAAAAAACTGGCTAGATGGCCAAGCCCAGAGAGTTGTGGTGAATGGAGTTAAATCCAATTGGCATTCGGTCACAAGCAGTGCTCCCCAGGGCTCTGTTTTGGGCCCAGTTCTATTTAACATCTTTATCAATGTTCTGGATGAGGGGATTGAGTGCACCCTCAGTAAGTTTGCAGATGACACCAAACTGGATGGGAGCGTCAATATGGTCGAGGGGAGGAGGGCTCTGCAGAGGGATCTGGATAGGCTCTATCAATGGGCCGAGGCCAACTGTATGAGGTTTAATAAGGCCAAGTGCTGGGTCCTGCACTTTGGTCACAACAACCCCATGCAGCGCTACAGGCTTGGGGAAGAGTGGCTGTTTTTTTGAGGTGATCATGCCCCTGTACTCAGCACTGGTGAGGCCACACCTCGAGTACTGTGTTCAGTTTTGGGCCCCTCACTACAGGAAGGACATTGAATCACCGGAGGGTGTCCAGAGAAGGGCAACGAAGCTGATGAAGGGTCTGGAGCACAAGTCTTCTGAGGAGCGGCTGAGGGAACTGGGGTTTTTTAGCCTGAAGAAAAGGAGGCTCAGGGGAGACCTAAAAGGAGGTTGTAATGAGGTGGGTGTCAGTCTCTTCTCATAAGTAACAAGTGATAGAACAAGGGGAAGTGGACTCAAGTTGCTCCAGGGGAGGTTTCAATTGGACTTTAGGACAAATGCCTTCTGTGAAAGGGTTGTCAATCATTGGAACAGGCTGCCCAGAGAGGTGGTGGAGTCACCATTCCTGAAGGCGTTCAAAAAACATGTAGAAGTGGCACTTCGGGACATGGTTTAGTAGGCTTGGTGGTGTTGGGTTAATGGTTGGACTTGATGATCCTGGAGGTCTTTTCCAACCTTAATAATTCTATGAAAGAATTGCTTTAGAACTAAGCACTTCTGTTTATGATTTCTGATATTGCAAGCACAAGGAAAACAAGCAGGTTACTTCAAAACTGATAAAAGAATTTTTTTTTTTAAAGAAAGCATATAATTGAAACATGTAGAACTTGGTGCAACAAAATACCAGGCCTTACATAATTTAAAAAATAAAAATAAGAACAGTAATATTAGATAACAGTCCTTTTACATATTTCAAAAAAGGAGGCATAGTTTTGCATTTCACTACATGCTCATAAGCATGAACTATTGGAAACTACAAAAAAATCACCTTTGAAGGAATAATTGCATGATGGTCTTTTGCATGATTGTTTACAGTTCTTCTGAGACATTTTGTTCCAGTAACGTCACATGGGAGAATGTGACAAATCAGCAAATTATCCAATATGATAAATGATGAATGACAAAAAAGAATAATATTTCTATTAAAAGTCAATTTTTTTTTTATGTTCATCTTCATACATAATTGTTTAGTTATGCTCACAATGGCTAGAAACTGCCTATTCAGTAAGAATATCCAAGGCCATGGAGTTCAAGTTCAGTGGGAATGACAGGATCTCTGTGACACATTTTGTAGGCAGCTGTGGAAAAGGAGGGACCTGGTTTTATTATCTGTAGAATTATGGTACAAGCAACATTAATGAACCTGGATTTAAGCATTAGGTATTTACTTGCCCGAAAATGGGCTAGAAGACTTTCTACTTCCTGTTCAGCATGCTGCTAGACACTGTGATGAGTGAATTACTGTTTCTTGTGTGTCTGTTTTCAGATGTGTATCTATCTGCCCAGATGGGTGACAGTAGTCAGAACTGTGAAAATTAAACACGCAGTTATAAATTTCCATAATTACAAGTTGCAAGTATCATTTGAAAGAAACTCAAGAATATTTTGCGAGAATGTTGCTTGTCCCTCTACGTCAGTCTCAGAACTGGAAATCTTAATTTTTTGAACTTTCTTATCCTAACTGGTCTTATTCAAAGCTCATAGCTTTTATGTGCTAAATATATCGGTAGCTTTGATTACCTTTTCTAGTGAATTTATTTTCTTCTACAGAGGTTAGTTAGCTGCTGTTGATAAGTGTGGGTTTAGGATTGGGGTATTCTGTTTGGAAACACTAACTCATTTTAGTTGTAGAGTATCATTTTATTGACTGTAGTGGTAATTCTCTGAATATCTACATGCTACAGTGGTTTTGGTTTGAACATGACTTTTATTAAGCATGCTTGGTTATTTTAGTGATTCTACAACAATTTTTTCTTCAATAAAGATAACGTATGCTGGGACCTCTTTTCTATGCATTCAGAAAGACATACAGGTCCCTCACTATAAAGACTCTTGTTCTTTTACAAACTGCAGAATATTTCTTTATGGTGATGGTTGCCTTCAGAAAAGTTAATTTCTTTTTCTACCTATAAGGATAGCAGATAGAAAACTAGAATTTAAGCCATGAATATAACAAAGGAGCTGAAATGTCGCCACAACAAAATGTACTGCTGTTAGTTGTGCACAATGAAATGGTGTGGACCTGTGGAAAGAAGGTTATGGATTTTCCATACTGAAAATATCAGAGTCCCATAATGCATGTCTCATTTAAATTATGAAAGAAATCTGAGCTATGCACTGGTCTGTGACTGAAATCTGAATATGGCACTTAATGTGCATAGATCCTTGAAATCTAATTTGACTGTGATATAAAGTGATTACAGTTTCAGAGGGTAATTTTCTCAAAGATAACATGAAAATTTAGTTGACAGGGCTTCCATGACATGAAATCACAGAAGGTTTTATGGAGTCCAACTGACTTAATCTTTTCTAGGTTGTTTGATTACCACAGCCGTGTCCCACCACCACCCCGTGCAGTGATTCCACTGAAGCGTCCTCGTGTGGCTGTGACAACAACTCGCAGAGGCAAAGGGGTTTTCTCCATGAAAGGAGCATCACGATCCACCTCAAGTGGGGCTTCTTCCTCAGGATCCAAATGTGAGTTGCTCATATCAGTTGGATATTATTGAAACAACGATCCTAGTAATTTCTACAAGCAGACAGCTTCCACTATATAGCTCTGCTATAGCCATTTCCTACCCTCTGCCTTTAGCTTGAAAAACTGGTTTGATTACCAAAGCTGCCATGCCTTTCCTGCAAGTCAAAGACCACACTGATGTAAATTTTGAAGGAAATCCCTTCCACAACATTCGACCTACAGTTCACTCCCTTGGCTTAAGAAGAAGCCCATTTAAAATCTCCTACCATCCTGACTGCTTATGCATCATGAGGTCTTGTGAACAGCTGATAATAAAGCAAAGCTAACAGAGCTGTTATAGATAGAGGCACACTGATTTCTGATGAGACTTGAGGATTGTATGTGAGTTGGTGAGAGGTGGGGGGTGGTGGGGGCGGGGGAGGTTGTGTTGTGTGTGCTTTTTTTGTCAAATTCCTCTGAGGTTAGAAAGAGGCAAAGTTCTAAATGGAGGGCAAAACAGTGTTGGCAACTCGGGATTATTCAACCCTTCCATAGTGAGTTGGCCTTAGAAGAGCTGATGAACAATAGGCATTCCCTCCTCCAAGCTCACTAAGCTCCCCACCCCATAAGTACTGTCCTGGGAACTTCATCTTCCTCTCCGTGCATCTTTCAGCACCCACCTGTCTTCCCCTGCCCCTTATGTGGAGTGATACTGTCCTTGGAAGCGTCACTGGAAGAGGAAGAGAAAGATCAGGTAGGGATCAGATATTAGAAAGAATGAAGGGACTTCAATAAGGCACTTGCAGTACCAGACTGGCCAACAACACATCATGCTGGCTTACACACAACCATGAAATAACTGAATCCATCAACACTACACTTTACTGGAACAGGGATTAATTATGCCTTTGACTTGAGCCAATTATATATTCTGTTTGAATAACTATGCAAATCACACACTAGCATCTAACAAAGAAGATGGACCTCTAGTGAGCCCACTAGGATCCATTCTTGATCTTATTCTATGAACCAGTGGTATCCAAGACCTTGAAAGAAAACATATAATAAATATGCACATGACTGAAAGAATGGAAATACGATAAACAGAGGAAGAGACAATGTTTTACACCGAGGAACAAGGAGCTCAGGCCATTACTTGGAAAGGATAACATTCTAAGAAAGGGAGTCTTGGCTGTACAGTCAAATCACACACAAGTCTCCAGTGAATAAATTGGCTGGATGCCCTTTACTAATAATGGGAGCTTTGATACCTACCACAGAGGAAGACATCTAAATTTAGGTGTCATATTATGGAGCTCACTCACACGCTGAGAGGGTGGCTGGGAGTAGCAACACTTCCTTTGTTCTCTGGAGGATGAACATGAGTCTAGACGTTTTCATACACATCTTGAACTAATCCACTTGTCCATTGCTATTTTTTTTCTTTCCTTGATATTTTAAGTAATGAATTATGATTTCTTATATTAATTTAAAAGAAAGCATACAGCTCAAGACCTTCACTTTAGTAGACTTTAATTTAAATTATTTTCTTAGTCTTTTCCAGCCCTGAGTCTTTGGGTTTTCACATAGTGAATCAAATCTTCAGTAAGTACATACACTTAGAGGATCATTCATTAGATATCCTTTGTTCATCCTTTACTGTTGTCTTATCCATATGAAAAGTTAGTAGTATTAATGCATTCAATTAACTAACTGTCCTAAAGCATGGTCTAATGAGAATGGGCTTTTTTTACTGACTTTGCCTTGAGAAGACGAATAATTTTCAGATAAGTTTCTTTATATATGTTTTTTGTTGTCTAGATTTTTGTTGTCAAATTCTTCTAGAGAACTGAGGACCTTATTATATCCCAATAGATGTCAAGGAAATCTCTCACCCAGCAGTTTGGATTTTCATTGTAGTGAATAGGACATAGCATATTACATTAACATATAGATATCTGTTCCTCAGAATAACCATCAAATATGTTTCATTATTTATTCTGCATTTCAGAAAATGTTTCATAGTACAATGTCAGGACTTAAGTAATGCATAACGTAGATTATAGAATTCAGCCCTAGACTGAGTACCCATAGCCACTTGCTAGAAGACGTTCAAAAAACCACCTGCCTAACATGGCAAATGTTGCAGAACCTGTAAATTATTTAATGGAAGTGCAATCAGGAGTGTAGAGATCCTAACAGACAGTGTTATGCCCCGGTGAAAATATCCTTCAATGTATTCAGGTGTGATGTGATTTCTAAAAATGTCTTAGAGCTCCAGGTGACATGATCATCCTTGGATCCAGCTCTTTAACACTGAAGGGAGATCTGCAAGATGCATCACTAAAAATGTGACTTGACTTTTTGACCCCTGTGGGGTTGCCACCCTCCGTTCTTTACAATGACAATTGGAACACAACTGCAGAGACCATTTATCGTGCTGCAATAAATCGCAGAAAGTTTTCTTTCTGCATGCAGTGCACCTATAAAAGGAGTCAGACACACAGTATAAAGACTTTCATGCCTGATTTCCCCATAGAATTTCTTCCCTTTTTGTCAAGTCCAACCAACCCATCATAAAGGTAGAAACATGATTTTGTTGACTTGGACAGGAACGTAATCAGCTTATTGTAAGACGTTTATCAGAGAAATAACTGAGCCATTCCCTAAGGGGCTTCAAGTTGGAAAGTAGAGAATGTGTGTTTTGTGGCTTCTTTTGCCACTTTATTGGAAAAGTTGGTTATATTGAATTGTGGGATGAAGCAATTTAATATTTTGTTGCACCTCACTCTACACTGCTAATCTTAACCCCTTGAACCAATGCATTGTTGATTTTAATTGTAATTTATTGCTAGTTAAATAAAGGATCTCTTCAATACGGAGAAACATAGTTTGTGGGAAGGACGATATTTTGGGTTTTAATGAAATTCAAGGCTGTAAAACAGCTTAATTGCAGGTTCACAATTAACTATGTCAAAATGGTATTGCCTGTGCTTGAAAGATTTCCCCCCCCAAAGAACAAAACTCTTATGAGATCACATCCACTAACAGACTTTTGAGACTTGGGTAGAAATCTCATAGACATAACTGTTCTCATAGCTGTTCTCCACACTCCGACTGGATCCAGAAAATAAACCCATATATGTAGTATTAAGTGTCAGAACACAGGGGACTCCTCAGTGAAATTACCAGGATTGGAGGGACTCAGTTCTGAAAACCAGCAATCTAAAGACAGAAGTTTTCCGTGGCACACAGCAAAGATGTTATAAAAACATAATAGCAAAACTGCCTTGCTTACTGATGAGTATATCTACAAAAATAATGTCTGCCCTACAGTGCAGTAAAATTTTCTTCTACCGAGAAGTGGCAATATGTGTTCTAAATTTGCTTCCAAAACACAAAATAAATCAGGAGGATTTGATTTCTTTTCAGAATCTATAACTTTTCAAGGATCATCTGAAAACATTTTGTTTTCTTCTTATTCCAAAGACTAGAAAAAAATAAATCAGTCTTTCCACATTATCAGAAGTAACTCACAAAATGAAACATGGTGTGGAAACTACACATAGCAGTTCTTCATGGTAATGGTAGGAAGCAGTAGATGCAGAATGCTATTTAGAACTGGGGAAAACTCACTTTTTCTGACAATACAGAAACTGAAGCTCTTGGAGTATGCATTTTCATTTTATGCATCTTAAGACAGGAGGAAAACACTAATCAAATTTTTTATACCCTGTGTGCTTGAGATTAAGGAGTAGACACTTAAGATGGTACAATATGTACTGAATTATACCTTTAAATTAATTCATTTTGACCTTTTTAGTTTATATTTAGCTTTATCAGCTAACCCATTTTTCAGTGAAATCCAAAGTAATACAATATGATAAAATATTTTATATTAAATATGAAGGGCTTAGATAAAAATACATGACATTTCTTTCCAAAGGAATCTGAATCATGATTTGTGGATGAATCAATTTGTAGTTATGGAAAAAATGTTTCACAAATACAGTTGTAATTCAACAGCAGCAATTTCATTTCTAAAAATGTGATCTACCTCAATTTTAAATTGTTTGTTTTGAGCTGGATACAGTTTGTCTCCTTTGGTGCTAGATGTTTCAATGAAAGATGCATTCTGGAAGGCCCTTGTATTCCTGGCAGAGGGCTGGAAAGGGTCACTGAATCTAATTCCTTACTGTGGCAAGTAGCCACATCATCTAATCCTTTAAACGCCATCTTAAAGCTAGTTGGGGTTTGATTTTTGTCTGTCTCTGTTTCTTCTAATTTCCAGCTTAAATTTGTTTCTCATTTGTTCATATCCATTTGTTGTGCCAACACTGTCTCAACTTAAAAGTTTTATTTCCTTTTACCTTCTTTTGTCTTAGGCAAACAAGCAAAACTCTTTTGTCACACTACAGGCTTTCCATCTGCATGGTCACGTTCATGGCCCTTCTCCCCACGTACCTGCCAGAATTCCGTGGTTCAACTTCTACACATTATTCCAGCTGAGCTTTCAGCAGGTCCTTGCACAATGGCATTGCACTTCCCCATCTTTAGCAATATATCATTTGACACATGCTAGCACTAGATTTCTCTCTTATGGCTGCAGTTAAGTGATAGCCTATTGTCCACCTGAGACCACGACTGCACCCATGGATAATTCTATTACTGCCTTTTTCAGCTGATGAGCTTCCATGTTAAGAGTAGGAGTTCTGCTGTTAGTCATTCAAATGCAGGACTTTTTTTCAGTGCAATGGTGTTTCATCTTCCTTCTAACGTAGCGTTCCTTAAAATCACCTGACTCCTCCTTCCATTCCAGTTCACTCTGAATAGATGATACCTTCCAATTTCATGTAATCAGCCATTTTTACCTGTTTATTTACTTTTTTGCATCAAATTTGCTGAAAATATTCAGCCATTTTGGTGCCAGTGCTTGAGGAATTTCATTAGTAATTTCTTTCCCTTCCAATACATGCATTTCTGTCACCTGCTGGCCTTTTCTTATCTGCTAATAGGAAAAAGAAAAAAAAAAAAAAAAAAAAAAAAACAGAAAGCTACTTTTTTTTCTTGGACACATGCAGCTCTGGTTTCATGTTTATCGACAGCTTTATTTCTTGCCTGAGATCAATTTAAAAAAAAAAAAAATCCGTGAAGCTTTAAAGGAGAATTTATATACCAAAAAGCAGGACACCTGAAATAGAGTATTTACAGTCTTTACATTTTGTCTTTTTCATAACACTGTGCTTAAAAAACCTAAAGTTCTTCCCAAGCTTTATACCACAGAATTGCAGAATTGTTGAGGTTGGAAGGGATCTCTGGAGCTCATCTGGTCCAACTGCCCTGCTCAAGCAGAGGCAACTATAGCAGGTTTCCCAGGACTGTGTCCAAACAGCTTTTGAATACCTCCAAGAATGGAGACTCCACAGCCTCTCTGGGATGCATGTGCAAGCATTTGACCACCCTCACAGGGAAAAAAAAACCAACAAAAAAAAAAGCTGCTTCTTTATTTAGATGGAATTTCATGTGCTTTAATTTGTGTCAATGGTCTTTGACATGTTAGTGCGCACTACTGAGAAGAGTCTGGCTTTGTCTTCTTCATTCCCTCTTGTACTGGGGAGCCCAGAACTGGACACAGTACTCCAGATGTGGCCTCACCAGTGCTAAGTAGAGGGGAAGGATCATCTCCCTCCACCTGCTGGCAACACTCCTCTTAATGCAATCCAGGATGTGGATGCCCTTCTTTATCACAAGGGTGCATTGCTGGCTCATGTTCAGCTAATTCTTCATCAGGACCCTTCATAATTTGCCTTTAGTAATTGCTGCTTACTAAAGAAATACCCAGTACAATATAACTGAGAATGGATTTTCTCTAGGAGAATGATTTTGAAGATTTTTACTGCAAATTAAGAAAGTAAGCAACTCAAATAACTACACCATCACAATGTTGGAACCAGGGTGAAAACTTGGAACTTGTGCAGATTTGTTGAAAATCTTTCACCTTTTTAGTGCTAACTTGAAGTGATTGTCTGTATGATGGAATCTCTTAATGACCTTATTAAATGTGAATGATAAATTGCAGATTCAGTGACTAAAGCTTGAGAAAATAGTTTTGGCATAGGGGAATCTTGCAAGGTAGCAACAAAGCTACTCCGCTGTTTATAGAATCTTTGCTTGCTGTTGAATCCCCACTGTTTTGTCTGCGTTGACTCTGATGCGGTCTTCTTCCCAAACTGATTTCTCACTGAGACACCACAGGGGAGCCCCTGTCAAGCAGAAGGTTTGACCTGAGTTGAACAGTAGCCCTACGTATGTGCCTGTTTCTTCACCAGATTCAGAAGTGCAAATGTTTTCTGCTTGGCTTTTTAGACTGGCAACAAATCTCATGAAGTCCTTGTGGTGTCTCTTCTGACTTCTTTTAGCCTTGGCAAGGCTGCAGTTTGCCAGTCAAGGGACCACCTCTAACACAACAGCTTGGATGCACCAGATCTGTTGCCAGCTGGCTTCATAGAAGGCTGCTGCAGACACTTAGCATTCCCCATTGGAGAGATTCATACCATTTCACCCTGGAATCTGCGCCACTTTGCTACTCCAGCACAGACCAACCACTGCCCCCAGGGAAGCAGTAACCTTCTAAATATATAGTTGTCAGAATCTTAACACTTTGTTACAGATCTGGGGGATTGAACAGTGACCCGTTATTTCTCCAAGAACATTTTAAGGCCTTGCTCTATAAATACACTGAATAATTCCATCAAATACCATATAGCATATAAGGGTCTAGCACAAAGGTTACTTTTAAGCTTTGTTCTCTAAGGCATACCATTCATCCAAGATGAGATCAGAGATTTCAGCCTATGACAGTGTGAGATACGTAATTTCTCAATATAAGCACATGATTAAACAAGTTCATTACCGCATATAGTAACCTACTGCCTTTAACTGACTTCTTGTAACTATAATGCACATGACCGAAACTCTAAAATAAAAAGGCTTGGTTTCAACCTCAGTGAATATGCTCCAAGTTTGCAGTAAAGCTGATTTAGAAGCAAGCACATACACATTTACTACCACTGAAGCAGGTGGTAGCTTGCCTGCACATTTCACCATCAGATTTTGACTGTCCAATAAAAAATACCTATGAGACACCATGATGAGATACATACTCATGAGCCAATAAACAGGACTGATTGATAAGGCAAGGTGCAGCCAGAAGATCCTTTGGGTAGAAAGGGAACGCATCCTTCTCCATGGCAGAACATCTCTTTTCCCAAGCTCACTAAGGGCTCTCCCACTGCTCTGGGTACACACCCCACAGCCAATGCACATCCTGCTTCATCAGCTGTAAGGATGGAAGAGTAATACTGCTCAGTGCTTTTCCATTGCCAGTCCCTCACAGTTTAAGGTGATGGCTATTTCTTCCTACAAGAGTTGTAAGAGTAACAGCTGTGTTACCTACTCTTGATGGCATGGCTCAAATAAATGGCTTTATTTTCCCATGCTAGCAGAGGGTTCCCATTTTCTCCTCTTCACCTTTTCAACATGATATGCTAGCGCAGATGGGGCAAGTCAATCTGTCTGAACTATGTTCTGAGCATCAAAACACATCCTGATAATGCCATAATAATGAGATCATTCATGTGTGCTGCAGTGCTGTTTCTTCTGAAGCCAAAACACCACCAAAGCAGTTACTCCTTCTTACATTAGACAACAAGAGTGAAATAATGCACATAAACAAAGAGTAATACAATGCAACAAAGATCTGGAAACTTCAGCTCTTAATTTTTTGGCATTGCCTCCATGACCCTGGATGTGATCATAAAAAGAAATATTTTCATATGTTACCTATAGCTGGGAAAAGTACAAGAAACAGAACTGAAAGCAATAATACCTAACACCTTGCATTGCAATGAAATTGTTGACTGGAACAAAACACTGAATTCCTGGGTCCCTAGCATTTATGTTACCGTTCACTCTTGTTGAATACCTACAGCTACTGTGAGGGATCTTTTTATTATTGTTGTTATTATTACAAAACAGTTCAGCAAAATAACATTGCAAGACTGTGAACCGTCACTCATATTTGAATCATTCTTTCACTATAGGATGTTTTTCAGTAAAAGTTACTTGGATTTACTAAGAATGCCCTTGAGATATTTTGCCTGAAATGCTTATTAAAGAACAATACACCTCACATAACCCCTTGCCAACGATGGTTTAGTATCTTGTGATTTCCCAGGATTCAGCATTTTTAACTAACAATGTTCATTGTAAAAGTTAAATCTCAAAAAATACTGAAAAAAATGAGAGAGTAGACCTTTGCTACAGAGGAAAGAAAAAAGAATGTGTTTTGTTTACGGGGGGCTGCAAATATAGTTTACTTCATGTTTTCCATCTTTGCTCTCTTTCCACAGTGAAATCAGATGAGTTGCAAACAATCAAGAAGGAATTAACCCAAATAAAAACAAAAATTGACTCCTTGCTAGGGAGACTGGAAAAGATTGAAAAGCAGCAAAAAGCTGAAGCAGGTAGGTGAAAGCAATTTGTTGTCACATGAATTAAATTAGAACCTTGTTATCAGTCAAGCAAACAGACCAGAGAGAACAGAAGCCTTCCCGAAATTTTGCTACATAATGGAGGCCTGAAGCAAGGTAAATTAACTCTCAGGTAGAATTGTTGGAAGGATAAATTAATAAATTTCACAGAGCATGCAACATCATTTCAAAAATTGTTTTCTATGGTGTAGTAGGAAAAAAAATAAAATAAAAGTTTCTTATTAGATGTCCTGGAGACAAAACATTACTAAAAAATTGACTGAACAGAATTAAGTTAGAGTTTGTTGACCTTGGGGATGCTTGTGCTATCCACATTAAGAATTATTAGATGTTCTATATCAGGATTTATTGCCTGGGCAATAGGCAATAGTCACAAGTTGTAACAAGGGAAATTCCTATTTGATATAGGGAAAAGAGATGCAACTAAGCAGTACAGCAGGTTGCCCAGAGAGGCTGTAGTAGCTCCATCCTTGGAGACTTTCAAAACTCATTGGGCCAAGGCCTCATGGACCTGGACCAAACTTGGAGTTTGGCCCTGCTTTGAAGAGGGGTTGGACTTGGAGAGTCCAGAGACCCCTTCCAACCTAAGCTATTGTGTGAGGCTGTGACACCTCTTTAAAACTGGCTAAAAACCTCTAGTTCAGCTTTTCTCTGGCTTGAAATGTTTTGTTTTGAGGCAAACCTTGGGAATGACAAAATCCAACACTGCTTTTTAATTTAATCAAGATCTTTACTTCTATCATTGCAGTGATCATTTTGTTAGTTGAATGATCTTACCTGGCAGCATTTTAAAGCCATACTGAGCAGCTATAAGGAATTTAGAAGGTTGTATTTTCACCACAGTATATATACAAAACAATCTCAGTTCTTACCACTGTCTATGCTATTTCCTTGGCTATTTCCTTATAAATCACCTGGTATACCTCTGTACAGGAGCTGTGTAGTAGCAAGCTGATTTTGATGAGAGCCAGAGGAGAAGTGGAAGCCTTATCTCATGAAAAATCTCAGTGTCCCTATTTTTTTCCCCCTCCATTTCTGATGAATTTTTTAATGTATTTTGTGTGAATTATGTGAAAGAAATTCTGCCTCAAAATCCTCAGCTGCCTAGGTGTATAGAATCATAGAATTATAGAATGTTTTGGGTTGGAAGGGACCCCTTAGAGGTCATCTAGTCCAACCCCCCTGCACTGAGCAGGGACACTGCTAACTAGATCAGGTTGCTCAGAGTCCCGTACAACCTGGCCTTGAATGTTCCCAGGGATGGGGCCTCCACCACCTCCCTGGGCAACCTGTTCCAGTGTTTCACCACCCTCATTGTAAAGAATTTCTTCCTTATATCCAGTCTAAACCTACCCTGGTTTAGTTCAAAACCATTACCCCTTGTCCTGTCACAGCTGGCCCT